TAGTACTTTAAGAGGGTTTTCACTGTGGTATCTTGTTCCTCGAATGTGTTCCGTTATCTTGCATACGCTAACGATCCCGAGTTTTCCGCTGCTGCGGTTTATGCATTGATGTAGGGTATACTAAACAGTGAACACACTTATTTGCGTCACCCAGTCTATTCAGTTTGCCTTCTGTTATACCTATGATACTGCCCCCTTTGCCCACACGGGTTTATTCAACGTTGAATGAGGCTTTGCGTAGAATTATGCCTCAAAGCGTTTCTCCGTGTCTTTAAAGGTTTTGACTTCAGCCTTTTGTTAGGCCGCCTTGTTTTACGAATTGAATTTGTGGATTTGATGAAGGTTTCCAGCGCTTGGGCTAGCCTTCCTTATAAGCAAAGATTAAGTGTATTTGCGATCTCCCGAAGGGGCACCCGTGAAGTTGCTGGACCGTTAACTGCGTTCTACTCACGGAATCTGAAGTAAATCAACTTCTCCCCTCATAATACTGGACTGTGGTTTTTTGCTCCTTTGTCAGCTTGTTTTTGGTTTTGCGTCCCCTCTCGGCAACATACTTCACATTTCTATGAGAGAATAACTATAACGACTAAATGTTGCATCTTCAATTCTTTTCCGAGGCAAATATCCTTTGGGATCATTCCACTTCGAACTCGGTCCAACCCAGTTTCACCCAACTTAACTAAAATGGGCTTGCCGCATTTTTACTGTGTGTGCCTGTTAAATGGTGCATTCAGGACTTAAAATGCTTCGAATTATCAAATTTTCTTTGACATGCGTAGATACGATAATCAATATTCTAATTTTTCGTACCTCCGAGATGATGTCCAAAACTACTCTGTTTCATGCTGTTGTTCACTTACTCTGACTTGGACCTTGTTTTGCCAGCACTGCGCCGGCTGCTAATGCGGTGTCCCCTCTCACGGGTTCGCTCCCCAGCAATTTGACTGTGCCCCCAAGTGATTCACCTTCTCCAATAAGTAGAGAAGAACCCCATGGACTAGCAAACTCGTTGAACTATGCTGCTAAAGTGCAGGCTTTCCCATCCCAGTCCTTCGATGTTTCCTCCCAGAGGCTTGTCCGCAGACCAAAGGAAATTCATGTGGTACGCCCCCAAAACACAAGTATCCCAATATCGCAACTGCCTGATTCTCATGCAAGGTAGTTGAAGGTTTAGTGGAAAACCTGTTAATTATAGCCTTCTGTATTTGTCAAAGCCATCTGATTGAATTCTCACTACATTTTTGATGCAATCAACCTTTTTTCTTAGATTGTCTAAACCCTCCATGGAAGGTGGTCTGATGAACTCCAGTATACCGTCCTCTGTCGCCAGCAGTCGCCCGACCGCAAATACAGTTGCCGAGACAACTCTACCGACAACGATTCGCAGTACTCCCGTTAGGCTAGTTTGCCTAAACGAAAAGCCATCTAATGCACTCTCGGAAGCTCTTATATCAGTACAGCCTCAGTTTACTCTCTTGTCTTCTCCGGCCAAGCTAGCGTCTAAAGCATCTGGACAAATCATTGAGCGCTCCATAGCCCCAGCATCAGGTATGGATTAGAGACTTAAGTAGAATTTATGGTTAATCTGTAATCTGCACAAGTTTAGTTTACATTTGTCCTAGTTATATGCTCTAAAGTTAGTTGTTAGATACTTTGTAATTTTCAGTCTTATTTCCCCTTAAAGCCGTTCATGGTCAAAAGGTGCCAACTGAAAATGAAATCAAAACAAATGTGACTGTGGACTCCACGAGTGCTTTCACAATCCCTACAAATCCGGTCACTATTCTCACTCCAAAAAAAAATTATGTGTCCTCCCAGTTGATGCCTTTGGTGCAAAGCTCTGAGCTGAAAACACATACCACATCTCCACGTCCGTCCCCAACCT